CTTCTTCTTCTTCTTCTTCTTCTTCTTCTTCTTCTTCTTCTTCTTCTCCTCCTCCTCCTCTTCTCCTCCTCCTCCTGTTATACTTCTCTTTTCTTTTTCTTCTTCTCCTTCTTCCTCCTTTCTTCTTTTTCTCCTCCTCCTCTTCTACTTCTCCTCTTTTCTTTTCTTCTTCTCCTGATATACTTCTCCTCCTCCTTTCTTTTTTTCTTCTACTTCTCCTTTCTTTTCTTCTCCTCCTCCTGTTATACTTCTCTTCTTTTCTTTTTTTTCTTCTTCTTCCTCTACTCCTCCTCCTTTCTTTTTTTTCTCCTCCTTTCTTTTCTTTTTCTTCTCCTCCTTCTCTTTTCTTCTTTTCCTTCTTCCTCCTCCTCTCCTTCTCCTCCTTCTCTTCTTCTCCTCTTCTTTTTTCTCCTCCTCCTCCTCTTTTCTCCTCCTCCTCCCACGACCCCGATTCTTGCAAGGCAAGGACTTGAACGTGGGTGGGGGGAAAAAAAGGGGGCTGCTAATTCACATTTACCAAAGCCCCTTAAAAGAAAGACTAGCTGCAACGGGCCTTTTCAGCCCACTCCTCCTCTTCCTCCTCCTCCTCTCCAAGCCCTCAGCGCCCCCCCAGCCCCCCCCACCCATCCCGCCATGCAGACAATAGCGGGGTCGCGGCCCCTTTAAATCCCAGCTCCCTCCTCTCCTCTCCCCCCCTCCCCTCCGTCTTGTTTATACCGCGGCGCCACCGAACTTGAGCCCGTCCCCCCCCCCGTCCGCTCTCTCGCTCCCCCTCCCGCCGCGAAGGCCACACCCCCCGGGCTTCTCCTATTGGCTGAGCGGCGGCGGTCGGGCGCGGCCATTGGCCCGTCCTCCGCAGCCAAGTTCGGCGGCGCTCGGAGCGGGGAGGGAGGGGGGGAGTCAAGTCAGCTGACCTTCTCCCCGCTCCGTCCACTCCCCCTCGGAGTTGCTCCGGCGGCGGCTGCTGCTGCTCCTCCTCCTCGTCGTTGTCGTCGTCTTCTTCTGACCCCACCGGCCGCGACATCGCTCCGGCTATGGCGGGCGAATGTGGCAACGGCGGCGGCGGCGGCGGCTGGTTGGCGCTCTTCTGCGGCTGGGCTGCAGCGGCCGCCGTGGTGGGCGCGCTCCGAGACGGCGCGTCGTCCGGCGCGGGAGATCCGGAGCCCGGGGACCCCTCGGGGCCCTGCCCGCCTTGCCCGAGAGTCCTAGGCTTCCGCTTGGAGGACGGCGCCTCAGCTACAGGGGGCCTGGTGCGGGCCCTCCCGGGGGCCACTTTCCGCCTGCGCCTCTATGGCACCGGGCTGCACAACCAAAGCTGGCCCTGGGCTGCCTTTGTGCCGGAGGAGGCCCCCTGTGCGGGGACCCCGGGGGACCCATCCTCCTTTTCCACCTTGGGGGCCCCACAAGTGCTGGCCCACCATGTCCTGCCTGCCAGCGAGCACGCAGGGCTGGTGACGGTGCGTGTGGCCCCCGGGGGCCCCATTGGACGGTACCGTCTCTGCAGCCCGGCGGGACCCGGTCGCCCGTGGACGCCTGCCGCTCCCGGAGATGCCATCCTGGTGACGGAAGATGAAGGCGGAGGGTCCAGGGTAGCGGCAGAAGCGTGGCCCCCGCCGATGCCCGCCTGGTTGCTGGGCACCCTGGTGGCCCTCCTGCTGGCCCTTCTGTCCCTGCTGCGCGCCTTGCAGCTCAGCACTCTGTGGCTGGACCCGGCCGAGCTCTACGTGTTGCGGGACTGCGGCTCCGAGACCGAGAGGGGAGCCTCCAAGGCGCTGGAGCCCGTGCGGCACCGGGGCCCTTTCGTCCTGTGTTCCCTACTGCTCGTCAGCTCCTTGGCTCAAGCCGCCTTGGCCGTGCTCTTCTACCGGGCCGTGGGGTCGCTGGCCCCGGCCATCCTCGGGGTGGCCGCCTTGTCCTTCCTGCTGGCTGAGGTGCTGCCGTTTGCCATCAGTTCCCGCTGGGGTCTCTGGCTGGCCCCGCGTGGGCTGTGGCTGACCCAGTTCTTCATGCTGCTGACGTTCCCCATCTCGCTGCCGCTGAGTCGGGTGCTGGAGCTGGCGTTACGGCATGACAACAGCACCTACCTCTTGCGGGAGAAGATCCTGGACATGGTCCGCAACAGCGACCCTTACAACGAGTTTGTGCGGGAGGAGTTCAGCAAGGGGGCCCTGCGGAACAAGACGGTGGAGGACGTCCTGACCCCGCTGGACGAGTGCTTCATGTTGAACGCCGACGCCGTGCTGGACTTCAACAACATGTCCATGATCATGCAGAGTGGTTACACCCGCATCCCAGTGTACGAGGACGAGCGGACCAACTTGGTGGACATGCTGTACGTCAAGGACTTGGCTTTGGTGGACCCCGATGACTGCACCCCTCTGAGCACCATCATCAAGTTCTACAACCACCCGCTTCACTTTGTCTTCAACGACACCAAACTGGATGCTGTGCTGGAGGAGTTCAAGAGAGGTAAATATGTGTCTTTATATTTTCATCGGCAGACACTTGGGTACATAGTAAGTAGATGGTTGCTTGTCCAGTTTTTTGTTTTAAAGAAACAACAACATTGGGATGATACCAACCTGAATCCTGGCGATCATCTGGCTAAATATATGGTTTTCAAACTATTGTGAAAGTTTCTTTAGAAGCTTATCCAGCAAGATGATCAGGGATGATGAAGAAACATCCCTAGAAGACATCTTTGGAGATTCTCAGTCATCCAAGTCATGGTTGTCCCAAAGATGCGTTTTCGAGAGGCAGGTGGACTTTCTGGTTTTTCTTTGAAGACGTTTCGCTACTCATCCAAGAAGCTTCTTCAGTTCTGACATCCAGTCTTGGATGAAAACGAAACATCTTCAAAGAAAATGAGAAAGTCCAGTTGCCTCTTGAAAAAGTACCTTTGGGATCCCCACAGCTTTCATAAATAGTTTGCTTATTGCCCCTGATTATTTTTTTTTCCTCCACTCACAGACTGTTGTTCAACTTCTGCCCGTTAGGAATCCTTTCAGTAAGATCCTGCAAAATCTGTTGACACCTGCGTTTGTTGGCGTACATGTTTTATTCCCTCGTTCTCACAGCTCAAAGCTGCATGCGTGATAATATTTTCTTTGCACAGCCAATCATTTCATTCTCAGAATAGCTCTGTTGAGGTTTATGTTTTATAGTTCATGTCTGACCCAGAGTTACCCAATGAACTTGTACACAGAGTGGGGATTTGAACGGACATCTCTCTAGTCCCAGTTCGGCACTAACTGCTTACATTTTCTGATTTGAGCACGTTCTTTTGAGTTTTTTTTTTTTAAATAGCACTCTGCGATTCCATATTGAAAACAAGGAATCGAGGCAACTTTTTCCTGAAGTAAGTTATCGTTGCCTTGTCCACCTCTAAAAAAAACACATTTTGAGTTTCCTAGAACAAACCAAAAGTGTGTAAAAGACTATCCAAGATTTTGACTTCTCTAGAACTCTTCCTTAGAGTGTTAATGGGGTGGGGGGGAAGCAAGAAATTTTGGTCTAATTTTGAAATTGTTTTCCTTCTTCCCTGCTCCCCACTGTTTCTAGCATTCTGTCTCATGAACTAGACTCGTATCCTGTTTAGAGTGGTCCAAGAATGGTGTTATCTGGGGTGGCTTGAAGTTAGAAAGTTTGCAAGGATGTATTGCAATTTATTTTATTTGAAGGGATTTTTAGCGGTATTCTCGCCGAGTCAATTTTGCATCACTTTTTTTTTTTAAAAAAATCCAAAGTTGTCTTGCATGTTAACTCCTGAGGTTGGGCAAAAAAAAACCCACCTCCATGATTCAGTGCGTCTTTAGATTCAGGTGCAAATCTTAATCGTTCGGTAAAAATTGAGAAGACAATCCGCTTCTACAGCCGATGAGGAAAGCGTAGTAGGAAGTGTATGAATAAATAATTTCATGTACTTAAAGACAGCTTCTAATGCGAGTACATTCTGATCTTGCTGCTTTAATGATTTATCAGTTGTTACAAGAGCCGGAGTAAAATGATAAATTTTATTGGGCTGGCTAATTATCTGTGAACATTATTGGCTGTTGAACTCCCTAACCTCTCTGTGTGCTCTTGAACTATGCAAACCTTCAGCAGAAATGCATCGTAAAAAGGCCCACAGGGACTAAGCAGTGTGCCACGCAGTTCAAACTATTAAGTCAGTTTTCTCTCCAAGTTGGATTTACCAGCTTTCATAATCCTTAGATGTTAGAGCTTAATGGGAGACTGCTCCAAATTTTAGTTCCTCAATAGGCATTTCCTACATAAGTTGGCAGGTGTGATCTTTCAAGATCATCGTTTTTATTGTTTCATATACATATCCCTTTGTATTATGGACAATTGTATCTTCCTCAGAGAGGCACGGTGGCTCAGTGGCTAAGACGCTGAACTTGTCGATCGAAAGGTCCGCAATTCGGCGGTTCGAATCCCTGGTGCCGCGTAACGGGGTGAGCTCCCGTGACTTGTCCCAGCTTCTGCCAACCTAACAGTTCGAAAGCACGTTAAAAAATGCAAGTAGAAAAATAGGGACCACCTTTGGTGGGAAGGGAACAGCGTTCCGTGCGCCTTTGGCGTTGAGGCATGCCGGCCACATGACCACAGAGACGTCTTCGGACAGCGCTGGCTCTTCGGCTTTGAAACGGAGATTAGTACCGCCCCCTAGAGTCGGGAACAACTAGCACATATGCGCGAGGGGAACCTTTATCTTCCTCAGATATATATGTGGATGTGACCATATCATGTTTGCTGTTTCTGCACATGAGAAAGCAGTGCTTGGTGGCTTAAAAGGATCCCGTGGGCATAAAATATAGGATGGGGAAGAAAGAAAGAAAGAAAGTCCAGCTATTAAGGGCAGCTTTTTCAACCACAAGGACTGCTTATGAATAAGTCTCAGTCTGGCTTGGGACATGGTGAGTTAAGTTCTCCAAAAAATAAACACCGCTGGACTGACACAGAATAGGATATGGTGCTTTTTTTTCCCCATATCCATCATTAGAATTGCTTGCTCATAGAAAATGATTGTTCAGTCAATCAGAATAGAGCTGGAAGAGACCTTGGAGATCTTCTAGATCAGGGGCCTCCAACCTTGGGAACTTTAAGACTTGTGGACTTCAACTCCCAGAATTCCTCAGTTGAAGTCCACAAGTCTTAAAGTTACTAAGGTTGGAGACCCCTGTTCTAGAACAACCCCCTGCTCAAGCAGAAGATCCTATACCAGTGATAGCTAACCTTTTTGTCATCGCGTGCCAGGAGGGGTGGGCGGGAGGGGGGGGTCACGTGCGCGCATGCCCACACCCATAATTCTATGCGCCCCGCCCCCACACATACGTGCAGGATGCCCCCTCCCCCCCTGCTCCTGGCACACGATGGCCCAGTAGGCCTGTTTTTCTTTCTCACCTGGCTCCAGGGCCTCTCTAGGAGTCTGCGGAGTGAGAAAACGGCCTTCCCCCCCCCCAGAGGTCCTCCGGACACCGAAAACGACCCATTTGACAACTTCCGGTGGGACCAGAAGGCCTGTTTTTTTGCTGTCCCCAGCCTCCAGGGCGCCTCTAGGAGTCTGGAGAGAGCAAAAGCGGCCTGGAGGTTCTCCAAATGCCAAAAATGGCCCGTTTGACAACTTCCAGTGGGACCGGAAGTTGTCAAATGGGCCGTTTTCGGCCTTCGGAGGACCTCTGGGGGGCTAGGGAAGGCCGTTTTCACCCTCCCCAGACTCCTAGAGAGGCCCTGGAGCCAGGTGAGAGAGGGCCTTCTCCCCCCCCATCCCCAGTCTCTCCGGAGGCAAGAAACAGCCTGTTTCCCTACTTCTGGTGGGCCCGGAAGACCCGAAAATCAGCTGAGCTCGTGTGCCCACTGATATGGCTACGCGTGCCATAGGTTCGCCATCCGGGCCCTATACAATTTGAGACAAGTGGTTGCCCGGTCTCTTCTTAAAAACCTCCAGTTTATAATGCGTTAAACAAAACACATGGTTGTTAAGTGAACTCAGCTTCCCTTGCTGACTTTGCTTGTTGGAAGCGGCTGGGAAGGTTACCGACCCTTGTCCTAGAACAGTGTGGATATCATAAAATACATGCCAGTTGACAAATTTTTGATTACCGTGGGGATACTACCATGGTCATAAGTGTGAATAAGTCACTTTTTTCAGTGCCTTTGTAACTTCAAATCGTTACTGAATGAACGGCGGTAAGTCCAGAAGTGCCTGTATTTAGTAATTTGCAGATCCGTTGTCCTGGCTGTTATTATGCAATCTAACATTCATTCAAAGTTATTTGAGTTCTCAGTGACTCAGTGATACTATTTGCATACAAAAGTACATTTGTGTTCATATTCAAAGCCAACACTCCTCCTTGCACACCACAAACATTCCATCAATCTATAAACAACCAAGGGGATATCACACGTCTTTGTCATACTTGTTTAGTGTTGAATTATCAGGCATTCTTTTAATTCTCATACATACTTCACTTCCATCATATACTGCTTTTTACCCCGTTCACCGTATTTTTCAGACTATTAAGACACACCGGAGTATAAGATGCAACAAGATTTTGAAGAGGTAAACAAGAAAAAAAAATGGTTTTGCCCTCCCCTGGCACCTAGGAGCACTCCACATGCCTCCAAAACTCTATGTCCCATTTTTGTGAAAAACAAGCCCGTTTTTCACAAAACTGGGATGCGCAGAGGGTTTGGGAGGCCTGCAGAGTGCTCCTGGGGGCTGGGGAGGGCAAAAACATGACACGGGGGTTTGGGAGGTGAAAAACGGGCCCGTTTTTCGCAAAAACGGGGCTCACAGAAGGTTTGGGACAGTGGTGAAATCCAAATTTTTTTTACTATCGGTTCTGTCGGCGTGGCTTGATGGGCGTGGTGTGGCTTGGTGGGCGTGGCAGGAGAAGGATACTGCAAAACGAACTGCCTTAAATCAAGGATTACCTGTATCTTTCTCTAATTCTTATTTTTGCAGCAACCTGTGTCTCATCCGTACCTTTCGTATGTGTGTAGCCTCCTTCATTTCATCTCTCCTCCTCGTATCATTTTTCGTATCTGCCGTACACTTTCTGCGGCATTCGATAATATTTGCTTTCATTCTCTTCCAACTAGGCTCTGTATTCTCTTTTCCATATGTCCTCTTTCTGCGTCCAGTTCTTTCAATTGTCCCAAAGGTGATTTTTCAGGAGGCAATTAGACTTTCTGGTTTTTCCCTTTTGAAGACGTTTCACTTCTCATCCAAGAAGCTTCTTCAGCTCTGGCTGGATGGTGGGCAATGGAAGGAATTATACTTTATGGAATGGAAGGATTTACAGGATTTAAGCCAGTGGTGAAATTCAAAGTTTTTTTACTACTGGTTTTGTGGGCGTGGCTTGGTGGGCGTGGCAGGGGAAGGGTGCTGCAAAATCTCCATTCCCAGATACTGCAAAATCCCCATTCCCTTCCTGCTCTGGGACTAGCCAGAGGTGGTATTTGCC